AACGAACATGTTATGGAAGTGAAGGTAAGCGTCAATAACAGTATGTTGCGCCGACTAGAATTACTTGTACTCATTTCAGGTTTGTTATCCGACCACGAAAGAAGCTGATGTAGGATACCTGATGCGCATCGTACCACTCGGGGAATTCAGTGATGACCTTAAGACGTTTTCACGTCATAAGCTCAGCACTCACTACATAGCGCCACACTCAATGAACCTTGCTAATCTGAGCACTTTGCAAGAGGTGGTTGATTTCGATAGCGGTTGTGTCACGATCGCATCGACTCTTCTCTGTAAAACACGGCCACAACCGTTCGAATGCGGTTTGGCGAGGAGAAGACGTCGCGGATGCGCGGTGGAGAAACACAATTCCACCGATGACGAAGTAGGTTTTTAGTTGACTGACAAAATTTCTAGCATCATAACGTTGACGTTTTCAGTTTACGCTTGTCGAGTCGCTACTAAGGACAACAGTAGTTGCTACTCGAATGAAGCGTATTCTGTACAAATCGGCAGAGCGCGACACATTCGAGTCAGTTCGACTGGAGAAGCCAGTGTTCGTATGTGAAATACCGAACGGAGCAATGGTTCACATAGGCGTGGAAACGATAACATCACGTGTCACGTCAAGCAATTTTTTGGTAGACCTAAAAATTGTACTACCGGTAAGCATAGACAGATTATTCTACTGACAAATCCATTAGTTATGTCCTTGTCTTGCAGGCAATGAAGAAACGGCCGAACTCGAAGGACGATAGTCGAGACGATAGCATGGACGAGCTATCTGGAAGAGGTGGATGGTGGTTGAACGGCGAATGGCTGGCCATCCTGCTGATATCGGTCATAATTGGATTAATTACGTTTGCCGTCTATCACCTATACCGCGAGTTGCGAAGACTAAGGCGATGGAGAAGAAGCGTAGACATGTTTAGGGAGTCGTTTAAAGAGCCGAAAGTGGGTTTCATTGTTGGGAATGAAGAAGATGCTAGAGATTTCATTGGTCATAGACACATAAATATGGAATAAATTGCAATGAAAGCTTGTTGTGTATTTGTGGGAAAGAGTTCAAAACTCTTCTATACTTCTACTATGCGATTTGGACTTTATGCTATTATCATTGTATTGTTGTTTTTTTTT